AATTTTTTACAGTGTCTGGATTTGACGTCTAAGCCTCACATATACTAGGCAAAATGCTTTATCATTGAACTCTACCTCCAGCTTAACTAAACTTAAAATCTTTAAAAAAAATCTCCATTCAGCTATGTGTAAGCCTTCTCTTCGTGTTTTTAATAAGCATATTTGAAACTCAGCAATTACATACAAAAATCCCACAACAGAATAGTGAGCCTTATCATAAACATAGTCCCATTATTCTTTAGGCGCATACCAGATGACTACTTTAGGGTTGTCTGACTTCTTTTTGTTTTATGACACAGAATCAAAGAAATATCATGTCAGATGACTGGCAAAGCACGAGCCGCCATTCTTCTCATTGAGGCAGGATGTTGTTGAGGATTAAATGTGACCGAGTGGTCCCACTTCCTCATCAGTAGCAGAGTAAGGCAGAGTGCCAGAACAGTGAGAGAAATTCTGCTCAAACTGCAGTGAATAGCAGTTTTCTGGCTGTTGGCCCAAAACTGGGAGAGAAGGCCAGGGCAGAGTGGGTCCTGGTCTTGACTGGACCATCAGACAACCTTCTCACATGCTCTCTGAGCTATTTTCATTGCTCCTTTTTCTATACTGATTTTTACTCATCAAATCAGATATAGCCCCAGTATGATCCTTAGTTAAGCTGAGCAGTCTGAAAGGAAAGAGAAACAGTCCTCTGCTGGCCTCAGTAGGAAAAGTCTTAGGACTCTAGTCCTGCTCAGAGAAGCCTGGTACACTTTTGTATCTTTGAAATTAATCCCTGTCTTAGTCCATCCAGACTTCTACAACAGAAGATCTCAGGCTGAGCAACCTATAAACAGCATACATTGATTGACTACGGTTCTAGAGGCTGAAAAGTCCAAGCCGAAAGCACCAGAAAACTTGGTGTCTGGGAGGGCTGTGTCTCTGCTTCAGTTTCAGGTGGTGTCCTCACATGATAGAGAAAATGGAAGAACCGCCCCATACCTCTTTATGAAGATATTAATTCTGTTCTTCTGCCATGACCTGATAGCTTCCCAGAGATTCTACCTCAAGTACCATCACCTTGGGGGTTAGGCTTCAACCTAGGGATATGGAGGCACAAAGACTCAAGACTCTAACAATACCATCCCCCCCCACCCCTCCAAATAGGACAAAATTTTTCTTAGGTCTAAGTTGCAAAGGAAAATCACACATGACCCTATTTGTGAAAAAAAGTCAAATTTGTTCAATTATTTGGGTAGTGCCCTGTATGAAAAAAATGCTTTTTCTAGGCACAGTAGCAAATAAATATCATAAGATCAATGCAGACAAAGTAATTAATTTTGCTAATAAGACCCAACTGGATCCATGATTGTTAATCTGGCTATCTTCCTTCTACAAATATTAAGACATGATGAAGGCTTCAGCATTCAGGAGGTTGAGGCAGGAGAATCTCAAAATCAAGGACTGAACCACATAAAACAGCTCTGTCATAAAAAGAAAAAAGGAAAGAAAAACAAAAAAAATAAGTAAAACAGCTTGCTATGTTGTATTACAAGCACATAGGTATATAACCTATAAATTCTTCGCACAAAATTTCAAATAATTAAGTTACGGAGTCTTCCTTCTCTTATCAAAGGTTAATGAAATACTAAAAGTGGTGTTTGGAAGTATGGCTGTTATATAATTGGAAGCCTTCCACTTCTTTACCTTTTTTGTAAATTTTTTATTGAATTTTTTTACAGAACATCTTGCTTACTTTTAAAAACTTGACCACAACTGTTATTTCAGAGCTCAGCAGACTGTTTAATTTAATCGTGTTTAAATATGGCTAACAGCAGCTCATTAGGCCTCTTCTGTTTTCTTCAATGTCACTTATTCTTCATTGTCAATTATGTGCAATATAGTTTCCTTTCCACACCGGTGCTTGCTATTACTTTTTTTCCCTATTACCTATCACAATGCATTTATTTTTGTGACTGTAACTTGCTTCCCCTCCACTGGGTTGTAAGTTCCAGTGGAGGAGGAAGCATGTTTACTTTGTTAATAAATGTAGCCCTATTGCTCCAGCACACTATGCTATCTAGCTCATAAACAGTGCTCAGGAGATATGAATGAGTGAGAAAAAAAAAAGAGTGAATGGAAGGAGCCAGGTGCAGTCATTTAGTTCAGTTCTGTTCATTGCAAATCAAAAGCCAATCTATGTGCCCTTGTGTTGAAATGAATGGCCAGGGACAGGAATTGAGTTCTAGGGCACTGAAGACAGGGATTAATGTGATAATTATAGCATTGCTTTTGAGATTTTAATAAGAAGCATCATCAAATGAGCACTGAGATATCTCACTGAAAATATGATACAAATTTATTTCTTAGAAAATTTATGGCTATGAGGATTATTTTGTCATAACCTACTTTTTTATTTCAATATAGTCGGTCTATGGTTTACAAAATGACATCAGAAGTCACAGTCCTACCCACACACCCACACCAGAAACCAAACCTCCAACAGAAGATGAACTGCATCAACAGGTAAGTCCATCTGTGAGATGGCTGAGGGTTTCAGGGTAACAAGTGTGAAAAGCAGAGAGTGAACACTTATAGTGGATATTTTGGAAGGCAATTCATATGACCAACTGTTCCATAAGGATTTACAATTAAAAGGTAATTAAATCCAGGCATAGTAGCGCACACCTATAATCCCAGCCCTCAGAGGCTGAAGGTAGGAGAGTCACACATTCCTGAACACCTGGGCTGTATGTCAAGACCCCATCTCAAAACAAAAACAAAGCCAAACTTTTTAATAAAGGGCTGGAAGTGTAGCTGAGTTCCCAATGTATTTGCTTAGCATATGTAAGGTCTTGGAGCCAATCCCCAGCACCACCATATATATATAAAGTTGTTCAGTCTAAGACATGACACGTGAAAATGTACCAATATGTGGCATCATTTTTCAAAACCCTTCACTAATTATTCCCCTTTTTGCCTTCAAACAAATTTTGAAAATCATCCATGCTGATGTAGAGGTGTCTCGGTCATTAAGAGTTATTCTGTACTTCAGATCTATATCTTAAAGGAGAAGGCAGGAGGTTAGAGATACAAAGTCTTATTTCCCACATACAATGTGATATGATCATCATAGAAATGTGGGTGTTATGCTTCTATAGTAGTGTTTTTCCCTAGCCTTTCATAGTCCGTCATTATCAACACTGGTGGGTAGTCATAATCTGTATTGGTTCTTTTTGTAAAAGTCAATTTGTAGCCGGGCATGGTGGCGCACGCCTATAGTCTCAGCACTTGGGAGGCAGAGGCAGGAGGATCTCTGTGAGTTTAAGGCCAGCCTGGTCTACATAGTGAGTTCCAGGACAGCTGGGGCTACAGAGACACCCTGCTTCAAAAAGACAAAAAAAAAAAAAGAAGTCAATTTGTGTCCAAGAAACATTTTGATGCAAGCATTAATGTTTCACCTAAAGTCATAATATATCTCTCAGTTGGTTTAATTATAGGGCCATTTTCATTATTTTGACTCTTTTTTATCCTAACATTTCATTATACTGTGGCTTATCAATAATTTAATACTCAGTCTTCTACTATATTTATAATCACCTTGAGGGAAGGTAATTTAGAGACTTTCTGAATTAAAGTTTTCCATATGTATTTATATCTATATGAGCATTTGTCATGAGCTGATAAAATTACTCTTAAAACTCCTATCATTAATGTTTTCATGGGATGGTATGAGAAGAGAGAGTTTACAACAACATTATAGTAACAAAAATACATTTGTCTTATGAATTAAGTATTTTTGGAGTAGTGGGATTCTGGGTCTAATTATTCATCATGAACGAATGTTTAAAACCTCCATAATGTTTTTCAAATGAATGTACATTTTCTTAAAGCAAGCATTATATTCAAATTCATTGCTGTTCAAAAGTTATAATGGTTATGTTTACATTCAAATAGATTTAATAGATTGTTAACTCCTTCTGAGGACTCTGATTTTTTTTTTTATGTTTTTTAACTTTACATTTTCCTTACAATATACTCTTTAAGGATTAGAATTTAGAATTGAATGTGATGTAAGAGCTCACGTAACCACTACTTTAACCCTCTTTTACAGATAAAATATTGGCAAATACAGTTAGATAGACATCGGTTAAAAATGTCAAAAGTTGCTGATAGGTAAGTATTTCAAGATATCAACATACATTTTTAAATGTCATAAAAACAACTATGTTAAAGATGGGACCCAAGCTGTTGGGGTAGAGTTGAAATAAATAATTTGAACTCTGAAAAAATATTTTAATTTTCATATGAAAAATTTCTGGAGAATTCTTTTGTTGTAGTTTAAAGACAACAGGATCGTTATTGTCTTAAATTCTAGAGGTCCAGTCCTTGTGGAACTAAGAATCAGGTACATGGGATAGGTCCAAGGAGTGGCCACTTTTCAGTGCTCCTGGAAGGAGTGGATCTTTGCACTTACTGACTACTATTTTGAATTTATTTCAACATTCGTACCCTACTCTTATTGCATATATTAAGAATTTGAGTTAGACTCAAGTTTTAGATTCACCTTTTCTTAATTAAAAAAAATCTGTTTGTAAAAATAAAATGTTCAGTGAACTTTAAATCTTCCAGTGGCTTATACCTTTCCAATATGGATTCTGCTAATGAATAAAGTAAAATGTAGACTATTATGAACATTCTATAATTTTCTACAGTGCTATAGAGAAAATGATCTAGAACAGAAGATTAAAGATGTTCTTTTTTAATTATTTATTTAATAACCACATACTTAGAAGAAGCATTTCATTACAACAGCATTGACATATTCAATAACAATTCCTAGAGCTAAGATGCATCTCTTTCAAAATTGGCTGTAAATTTTTAAGTTTACAGTTGAATTATTACAGTTATACAATATTGTACTCAGTATAAACCCTATAAGACATAAAATTAAATGAGGTTTTAACCTTTAAAAAAGATCTCCATTTAATTATTAAAATACACAGTTTCATACAGAAAAATTCATTTTTAATGCAATTGACATTAAGATGTTTGCACATGCATTTCTAATCTCTATATATCTGATTATTACTAGTCACAGTCAGTTACTTTCTGAGATTCTTGACATCTCATTTACAAGATGGAGTTTTACTCAGCAGTAAAGAAAGATGAAATCATGAAATTTAAAGATGTTCTTTTTGAGTGTTTCCTTTTTTTTTTTTGAAAGAAGTCTTTCTGTAGCCTTGGCGGGCCTGGAATTGGCTACGTAGACTAGCTTAATAGGATTCTTATGCTTTCATATGTAACACTGTCAGGTTCTACCTCCCCAACTTCTTTTATGTCCCCTCTCATTTCCTTTTGTTTTTAAATATTTTTTAAAAAATAATTTTAACCAGCGATTCTTCTTTCGCTTAATACTTTTTAATATTTTAGGCAAAAATTTGTATTTCAATCTCTTTTCCAAATTGCCTTAAATTGGTTCTGCTCTGAATGGACTGGCTAGCCAAGGATTGTAATGGCCCTCAGCACTGCCCTGCACTGGCAGAGACCTCTGTGCCATCTTGATGGGCTCGTTCACATCAGTGTTCAGGTGGGGTGTGGGGTGGAATCCTCAGCCACATTTGCTGCAAGGAGCACAGTGAATTGTCACATGTAGGTTATCAAAACATGAAAAATTGCCTTTGGATTTCTCTCTGTGAGTGGTTGTAGATTTCCTGGTCAGACATTTCCATTTTGTTTCACTTACTTTGAACCAGGTAGAAAACTAAAGAAATGTTTTGTTCTGTTTTCTCTCTAGTCTACTAAGTTATACGGAGCAGTATGTAGAATACGACCCGTTTCTTGTGCCACCTGACCCTTCCAACCCCTGGCTGTCTGATGATACTACTTTCTGGGAACTTGAAGCAAGGTAAAGACATGATGTCTTCTCTCCAAATATGTCAGTTATTTCAGAGTCTGGGTGAAGTAGAATTCTGTACTGAATGTTTTTAAAAGGGATTTTACATTGTCCACAACTTACCATTCTTGCTCAAAAAAATTATTTTAGGGGCTGGAGAGATAGTTCAGCAGTTAAGAGCACTGACTGCCCTTGAGGATGTTCCCAGTACCCACATGGCAGCTAACAACCATCCATAACTCCAGATGCAAGGGATCTGACACCTTCTTCTGACCTCCGAGGGCACTGTATGACATGGGTGCACTTTACACACATGTAGGCAATACACTCATACACATCAAAATTAAATATTTTAAAAATAAATTATTTTAGGTGTTTGCTTCTGCAAAAAGATTTGCCTTGCTTGTAGAATGCTATCTGGCCATCAAAAGGATGGAGTCCTGCATTCACGACAATGTTGGTGGCCCTGGAGAGCATTGTGTTAAGCGAAATAAGTGGAACCCAGAAACAAGAGTGTCACATGATCTTGCAAAATATAAAAATGTTCTCATAGACGTTGAGAGTAAGAATGGTGGTTACCAGAGGCTGGGGAAGGCCTAGAGAGAGGGAGACCTAGAGAGATGGAGGCCTAGGGAGAGGGAGGTCTAGAGAGAAGGAGGCCTAGGGAGAGGGAGGCCTAGGGAGAGGGAGGCCTAGGGAGAGGGAGGCCTAGGGAGAGGGAGGCCTAGGGAGAGGCTCATCAATGGAAACTAAATAATAGTTATATAGGAGCAAAGAGTACTGGTGTCTGCTGCACAGTAGGATAAGTGCAGATATCTATGCAGTTTGAAAATGCTAGAGGGCAGATTCTGAATGCTTTTCCCTTAAAGACATGATACTTGAGCTATATTTACCTTGGTTTAAACATTACACAATATACACAGGTATCAAAATTGTACATGGTATATCTATCTATCTATGTACAATTTTGTATTTTCATATATGTTTAAAATAGACATTTAATTTAAAACAGTCTTCAGTTGTTGCAAGAACTGACCCAAAATTAGAGATGACATTTTAAAGATAGGTTAGTTAGAACTCAGATCTTCCCTTTTAAATTTAGCTCTTTGCTGCTAATTCCTTTGGATATCCATATAGCCACCCAGGCCTGTGTATTCAAGTAAAATGGATGCCAAATCCACATTTAATTAACTTCAATAAAACCATACCTATATAATTCCATTTTAAAGCAAAATTCACTCACCATAAACACTGAAAGTAACTTTAAAAACACAACCATAAGCCAGGTTAGTGGCACATGCCTTTAGTACCAGTACTTGGGATTCAAAGACAGGTGGATCTCTGTGAGATCAATGCCAGCCTAGTCGGCATTGGGAGTTTTAGCCAGTTCAGCTACAGGGAGACCCTATTTCAAAAAAATGAAAACAACAACAACAACAAAACAAAATCAAAACAAAACCCAAGCATAAGCCAGATGTGGTGGCACATGCCTTTCTTCCCAGCATTCTGGAGGCAAAGGCAGAAAGATCTCTGTGCAACTGAGGCCAGTCTGGTTTGCACAGTAAGTTTCAGACCAGATGGGGTACACGGAGACCCTGTCTCAAAAATACCAAAAAATTAAAAACAAGAAGCATAAAGTCCAAGCACACTTTCTAACCCCTGGTTTCTTTGATGAGCTGTGGTAAAAGTCTTGAGACTCATTCAAGGGTCACTGCATGTCCTTTTACAAAGAGATGATTAGTGTACATTAACACTTCTGTTTTGCTGTTTGTTAGGGTCTCATGTTGCCTATGTTGGCCTTGAACTCATTATCTAGCCAGACATGACCTTGAATCTCCAATCCTGATACCTCCACCTCCTAGGCACTGCAGTTATAGGCCTGTGCTTCCACACCTGGATTCGGGTTGTATTTATGAGCCATCCCTTTCACATCCAGCTATTGATCTTAAGTATCTAACAATTCAGAAGTCTTCAGCCACAAGTTACATGTTTATACATGAGGAAGCTGGAACCCCCACATTTATGACTCAGCCTGGATTAGATTTAAGGGCAGCAGAGTCATGTGTAGTATTGAGGACTTCCATTTACCAATGCATCTTTCTAAGTGCAATCTAACACCACAGACTGTGCTATATAGTGGTTAAAATGGGGCTCTGTGTCACAGTGGCTGGAATTTTGCCCTCTATTCCTTATCTGAGAGGAACAAGTTGTAACTCCTTTTATGTGTCATCTTTCTCATTTACATAATAATATAATAATACCTAATTCATAAAGTTGCTAAGAACTCATCTAGACCACTTAAGCATCTAATGCTTAGTCAATGTTAGACTTTGTTTTTAATCTACCTTATACCTACCTCATCGTGATTTCATGAAGAACAGTCCATCAGAGATATATTACTATTCTAGATAATAAGTTAAAGATAGACTTTGACTTTGAAGGTAAATGTGGCAATGAAAATAGAAATTGTAATGGAAGGAATATATTTAGTATATTTTCTCTCATACAGCAAAGAACCAGGTCAACAGAGGGTAAAGCGATGGGGTTTTGGCATGGATGAGGCATTGAAAGACCCAGTGGGAAGAGAACAATTTCTTAAATTTCTGGAATCAGAATTCAGCTCAGAAAACTTAAGGTAAGACACATTCTGTTATTATGAGCCGGGGAGACACTGTCATATCTAGCTATTTCAGATCCAGTAGACCTAATCCTCTCACAGTATCACATTGATATTGTAAACACGTTACATCTCTATTACCTAAAAATGGAAGAAAAATAGGCAAAAGTCTATCCAGTATCAACAATCAGTTCTTTATCATTTATTTTTACCCTGTCTCTGTTTTTGACTATATAAATTCAATACCTTTGAAATTGACTCCATAAAGAAGTGTCATTCCTGGACCAATGTTTTGACAAAGTGGAAAATGCCTTTATTAATTATCTTACATCCTACAATCCATGACAGAAACAGCACATGGAAGGAAAAGTTTGCTCTGGCTCATGGTTTCGGGCAATTTCGGTCCTTCATGGTGGGGAAGGTGTAACAGAGCAGTCAAGATCACCACAGTGGAAGTGTGTGGCTGAAATGCTCACATTGTGGTGGACTTGGAAGCAGGGAACAAGGCCAGAAGCAGATTCAGACCTTTAAAAGCTCCCTCCTGGGGTTGGAGAGATGGCTCAGCAGTTAAGAGCACTGACTGCTCTTGCAGAGGACCCAGATTCAATTCCCAGCACCCATATAGCAGCCAACAGCCATCCCTAACTTCCAGTTCCAGGGGATCAAATGTAAGTGCACTGTATAGTGCAATGTCATGGAAACCAGAGGACATCAGATCCCCTGGAACTGGAGTTATATAAAGAGAACAATATATATATACTCCCTCTGAATAGCTCATGTCCTCCAGTGAGGGTCTACCTCCTAAAGACTCCAGAACTTTCCAAAATAGTACCACCAGCTTTCAGGACACAAGCCCTCATGAGGTGCTTCAGATCTGTGTTAGTCACTTTTCTGTTGCTGTGATAGGAACACCATGACCGAGGGAACATAAAAGGAAGTGTTTATTTGAGCTTACTGCTCCAGGGGAATTACCATCTGTCATGGCTAGAAGGCATGGGGGCAGGAGGTGGCTGGAACAGGAGCAGAAAGCAGAGAGCTCACATCTTTAAGTGGGCACAGGAAGCAAGAGACCACTGGGGATCCCGCAAGGCTTAAGAATTCTGTAAGCCCCTCCCCAGTGATGTGCTTTCTGGAGCGTGGCCACACCTTCTAAGATCTCCCAAAACAGTGCCACCAACTGAGGACAAAATGTCAAAGTACTTGGACCCTATGGGGGACATTCTCATTCAGACCAGCACAGAATTCAGGCTGTAACAATGAACAATAGCTTTTGTACAGTTAAATTAAAATATCACCACCTGTTTGTCAATATTAGCCTTCTTATTTTATACATTTAAATATACTAGAATCATTGCTAACAGTGCTGCATGGAGCTGAGAGAGAGGCCGGGGAACTCCTTTTGCCCCTCTGTCCTGAGCATCACCCTGATCTGTTTTTAAGTTTTCCTAACTCAAGGGGCACCTGGAAATAGCCTTTTTACATACCAGACATTGGAGTGGATTTTGTAGCTCTGTTTAAGATCATTGGAGTGATACGTTTTCACTGCATATGTTTTTTTTTCTTTTCCTTATGAGGCTGTGCTGGATAGCTTTAGTGTCAACTTGACACACCTGGGTTGAGGGAGCCTCAATCGGGGAATTTCCTCTATTGGACTGGCCTGTGGCCATGTCTGAGGGGCATCTTCTTGATGAGTGATGTGGGAGGGCCCAGCCCACTGTGGGTGGTGCCACCCTTGGGCAGGTGGGCCTGTGTTGCATAAGAAAGCAGGCTGAGCGGGGGCCAGGGGAGCAAGCCAGTAAGCAGCGTTCCTCCATGGTCTGTGCTCCAACTCCTGCCTCCAGGTTCCTGCCCTGAGTTCCTACCTTGGGCCCCCTGATGAACTGCATGCGACCTGGGAGATGTAAGACAAATAAACCCTTTCCTCCCCAAGTTGGTATTGGTCAGAGTGTTTCATTCATTATGATTTTGAGACCTGCTACCCTATTTTTACAGTGTCACGGTTAACTGGGTCCTGTGAAGTTCACTTACAAGAAGATACTGGGATTGTTTATTTTTATGGGAATGAAGCCCCTCAAGGTGTTGTCTCATTCTTTTCAGGAGATTTAACCGATAGCAACACTAAAACATTCAGAACCATCCAGAAAGGTGACACATGTCTCAGGGCTGAGGCAGGATGACCCCAGTCAGAGCTGGGTGGCTTTCATTTCCGGTGTATGCCTGTCACGCATCATCAGTGGATGTGCATTGCAGTTGTCTTTCAGGTTTATGGGGCTCCTTCCTAAATGCAGCTTTTAGATGCTCCGCAGTTGCTAGGGATTTTCATTGACCTTCCTAATGAAATTATTCTAAACTGAAATCAAATAATCAATGATGAGGTACAAGAATGCGTTGAGAGTAATTCAAAGATAAGAGATATTTAGGACATTTTAGTATCGTCAGGGTGGATTTTCTACTTGTTATTAAAATTTTTTAAAGATAAACAAGTAATTAGTCTTCGTCGTACCATCTACCCACAAATAAGATGTTCCTGCTGTCATATAATAAAATCTCGTGATGGGTGCAGACAACAAAATAAGTTGCCGATGCACAGGATACTGATGTTGTCATCAGATAGGTGAATAGAGATGGATACCTAACTTAGAGCCACCACAGGCATCTTAACAGAAATGGCTTGCAGACTGAGAGCTGGTGATGAGAAGGAGATGACCAGAAAAAAAGGGAGAAGGAAAGAAACTATAGACCAAAAAGAATGCCATGTGCACAGCAGGTTTCAGACAAGAACTGAGTCGTTGCCGAGTGTTTTTATTCTGTCGTGATTGTACTATTCCCGGTGTTTAATCCTATGCCTTACTAGTTTCCCTGAAAATAAACTATGCATAAGAAATATTAGGAGCTGGAGAGATGGCCCACTGGTTAAAGCACCTGGTGTTCCTGCAGAGGATCTGGGTTCTGTTTCTAGCACCCACATGGTGGCTCACAACTGTCTATAACTCCAGTTTCAGGGGATCAGATGCCCTTTTCTGGCCTCTGTGGGCACATGCATGCTTATGGTATTGATACAGACAAGCAAGCATACACATGAAATAAAAGTAAATAATTTTTAAAATAGTATGATTGGAGAAATATTTCAGTTGGTAAAGTGCTTACTTTACAAGCATGAAGATCTGAGATTGAGCCTCTGAAATGACCTCCCCCCTCGACCCAACACACACATAAATCCACATGCTTGCCATCTCAGCACTACACAGATGGAGACAGCTAGATGCCTGGGCTCACTAACCAGTCAGGCTCACCAATGAGTGAGCCTCAGGCCAATGAAGGACACTGTTTCAAAAAGAAAGGTAGGGCTGTGTCTATTGCCAGTGGTAAAGCACCTTGCCTGGCATCTGCCTGGCATGTATGAGACCCTAGTTTCAAATCCTGTTACTGCCAAAAACCAAAGAAAAGAAAGATCTTTGGGCCAGTGAGATGGATTAACAGGCAAAACGCTTTCCTTGCAAACCTGATGACCTGAATTAGAACCCTGGAACACACATTCGGAAAGAGAAATGAATCCTGCATGCACACCCACACCTGAATCTCTCTCTGTATATCTCTCTCTCTCTCTCTCTCTCTCTCTCTCTCTCTCTCTCTCTCTCTCATAATAATAATGAAAAGTAAGAGAAGAAAAAAATAAAGTGGATGGCTCTTAAAGTGATGCCTGAGGTTATCTTCTGGCTGCTACATGTGCACATGCGCACATATGCACATACATAAACATGAACATGCAAAGATATATTTCTTACATGTGTATATAGATGCATATGTATTTTTGAGTTGTCTACTTTGTGTCTTTCATGTTTCTTTATTATGTATATACAAATGATAAAAAGATATAACTGCAGAAAGAATTTTAAACACATTATTCACTAGAATATGTTTTATACACACCACTTCTATAAGCATGCTATACAGTATTTTGTGTCTGATAGTCTGACCATTTCAAGTCTAATGATTCAAAGCTATGCATTGTATATATTCTTGCCTTACTTTATAGGTAATCAAAACATATCTGAGTCAAGCAAGCACCTTGTGCAAGGTCAGGGTACATGAGATGACATGCTTGTTTTTTATGCATTGGTCCCAACCCGTTGCCCACTGTTCCTCAAGTCTGAACCTTGTCCCTGCTTCCTACTGAGTTATCTATTTCCTACGGTAAAGACTCAAAATGGTTCGGGTAGCAAGCAGGGCTGTGGATTGCACTTAAGTAGCTCTCTGTGCATCTTATCTAAGCAGCAGCAACCTTCAAAGGATCTGGTATTAGTGGGAATGTGTCAATCATATGAACACACTCTTCAGTATGAGGATGGGAAGAGTCGGGAGACACTGCTTGCCCACCACTTAGATCCTCTGCTTTCTACTGTGTTTTTATCCATTTCCTTTTTCAGGTAGAGTACCCAACATACAGCAAGTATAAAATCAATGTGGTAACTGCATGAATTTTATCACTGAGTACCTAAACTTGTGCCAGGCACTGTGGTCATGCCCTTTGCTTAATTTACATCATTTAATCTCATGGAACCCCAGGGAGATAGGCTTTTTCCTCCCATGTTATTGATGAGGAAATTAAGGATGTCCAAAGCTTCCTTAGAATCCAGTTGCTAATGGGTTAAAAGTGGGATTTGAACTGGCACCTCTCCATTCTACTAAGCTATGCCAACTATGCCGGTATGAATGAGGATACAGAAGGTGATGCTTTTGTTAGGGAGACAGTGTCTTGAGTGGTTGCAAGAATGTCATCTGCTGCAGATCTCCAGTGATGATGCTAACAGCCCTTCACTAAATTGTGTAATCTTCACATCCTTACTTCCCTGCTCTCTAAAGTGGGGAGGGTCATAGCACCCAGCCCATGGATATGTGGAGATTCCATGTATCTGTACCTACATATCAGTGAAAGTCTTCAGATTAATATTTCAGCCCTTGGCTCATTTGCTCTCATTTCAAATCCATATAATTTCTGATGTCAGTGAGGTGGAACAGCTTCTCTGACCCCCCATTTTCTAGCCCCTTGCTTGCTCTAGCATTAAAGCACTTCCTAGTCCAGCATTCCCCAGCTGTCTGGTGTATGATACCTAGAGAAACTCATGTATTTCCTAACATTGTGGGCATTTGAATGTGGCTATTGTTCTCTGTTTATTCTCTGTCTGAAAATGAGGACAGACCCTCCCTCCCTCCC